CGTTATCGACATGCTCATCATTACCATCATTATCATCATTATCATCATTATCATCATCAGCATCTGCATCATCATCATCAGCATCATCGTCATCATCGTCGTCATCATCATCATCGTCAGCAGCAACAGCGGCATCAGCATCATCACCAGCAGCATCATCATCAGCATCATCATCAACATCAGCATCAGCATCATCATTATCATCATCAGCATCATCATCATCATCGTCATCATCAGCATCATCATTATCATCATGATCATCATCATCATCATCATCATCATCATCATCATCCTTATGATTATCATCAGCAGCAGCATCATCATCATCATCGGCACAATCATCATCGTCGTCGCCGTCGCCTACGCGATCGTGATCAGCATAATCACCACCATCATCCGCATCATCATCATCATCATCATCATCATCATCATCATCATCATGAGCATCATCATTATCAGCATCATTGTTATCATCATCAGCATCATCATCAACGTCGTCGTCAGCATCATCATCATCATCATCATCAGCAGCATCATCATCATCGACATGGTCATCATCAGCAGCAACAGCCGCATGATCATCGTAATCACCAGCATCACCATCATCAGCAGACGCATCGTCAGCATCATCATCAGCACCGTCGTCATCATCATCTTCAGCAACATCATCATCATCAGCAGCAGCATCGCCGTAAGCAGAGTCATCATGAGCAAAAGCATCAGCAGCATCGCAAGAATCATCATCATCATCATCAGCATCATCAGCATCACCAGTATCAGCATCAGCATCAGCATCTGCATCATCATCACCATCAGCATCATCATAATCATCATCATCATCATCATCATCATCATCATCATCATCATCATCATCATCATCATCATCATCATCATCATCATCATCATTATCATCATCATCAACATAATCATCAGCATAATCATCCTCACTCTCAGTATCATCGTCATCATCACCATCGTCATCAATATCATGAACAAGATCAGCATCATCAGCATCATCAGCATCAACATCATCAGTCTCATCATCAGCATCATCAGTATCATCTTGCTCACCATCATGTTCATCAGAATCATCAACATCAGCATCATCAGCATCATCAGCATCATCCTCATCGTCATCGGCATCATCATCGTCATCATCAGCATCATCATAATCCTCGTAATCCTCATCATCATCATCATCATCAGCATCATCATCATCAGGTTTCCCCTCCTCACTCCTCTCCCTCCTCCTCCTCCTCCACCAACTCAGCCCAACTCGTCCCTCCGCCTCCTCGTACAACTCAGCCTAACTCGTGCCTCCTCCGCATCCACCTCGTTCTCTTCGTGTTCCCCGACCGTCGCTTCCCGTCTCATCATTGCTCCACCTCCTTCTGCTCCTCTTCCACCTCCCCCCCTCTCATCTCTCCCTCCCCCCTCGTATTATATACCTCCTCCTCCTCCTCCTCCTCCTCCTCCTCCTCCTTGTCCCTCCTCCTCCTTCAGAGCCTCCTCCTCCTCCTCCTCCTCAGCCTCCTCCTCCTCATCCTCATCCTCCCTCTCCTCCTCCTCCTCCTTCTCGGCCTCCTCCTCCTCCTCTTCCTCCTCATCCTCCTCCGCTTTCTCCTCCTCCTCCTCCTCCTCCCGCTCCCTCCTCCCGCCTGCCACCTCCCGCCTCACCTCCTTCCGCCTCCTCGCCTCATCCATCCTCCCTCCTTCATTCTCCCTTCTCCGTCATCTGTCCTCCGCCTCCCTCATCACTGCTCCGTCTCCCATGGAAGGGGAGGCGCGGGAAGGAGGAGGAGCACCTCGCGACCCAGAATCCTCAGCCTCGGCATAGAATGTGTAAAAATACCCGAAGCGGCGGGTACTGGGCGCGTAGAGGAGGCACTGCGTGAGCAGGAGCCCAACCTTGGCGGTGATGCACAAGGGGGATGAGGCGGGGAGGGCGTCTTCCCACGAAGCCAGGGGGCGTTGTTCAGAGAGCATCGGAAACTTCTGGGCGTCTGACCCAGACCCCCTGGGCATTCAGAATCACACGACCAGGGGGGGTGTCGCCGTTCTCGGCTTCTGGGGGCTCTTGCCGGACCCCAGCGCTGTCAAAATACGACTCAGGACAAAAAGCTAGTCCCCGGGGGGGGGTCCAGACCTCTGGGGAGCCACGCTGAAAAAAACATGAAGCCGGATGTATGGGACGGCTCCTCTGAGGGCGGGGGGGGGCCCTGAGACGCCCGCTCAAGAGAGGAGGAGGAGGAGGAGGAGGAGGAGGAAGCGAGGGGAGGAGGAGGAGGAGAGAGAGGAGGAGGAGGAAGGAGAGGACGAGGACGAACGAGGACGAGGAGGAGGAGTAGGAGGCGAGGAGGAGGGAGGAGGATGGAAGGAGGAGAGGAGGAGAGGAGGGGGAGGAGGGAGGGGGAGGCGGAGAAGGCGGAGGAGGAGGAGGGGAGGAGAGGGCGGAGGAGGAGAGAGAGGAGAGGAGGAGGGGGGGGGGGTCGGAGGCGGAGGGAGGAGGAGGAGGGAGGGGGGCCCCTGAGACGCCCGCTCCTCTCACGCTCAGAAGACCGCCTACCCTCGCCCCGAACCCCAGCCCGCCCGGCACGCGGCCGAGGACCGCGGCGACGTTCTGGAGCAGGCCGATGGTCGCCGGCCCGAGGCCGAAGCCGCCGCTCGACGCCGGGATCGAGACGATGAGCACAAACATCTGGCCGTTGGCCGAGGCGAAGCCCCCGATGGCGCAGTAGGCCGCGATGACCTGAATCAGCACGCGCGGGAAGCTCTGGCCGTGGTGACTGGGGGCCTCCAGCACGGCGGGCGACACCTGCGGCCCCGCCTCCTCCTCCTCCTCCTCCCTCCTCCTCCTCCTCCTCCTCCTGCTCCTCCTCTCCTCCTCCTCCTCCTCCTCCTCCTCCTCCTCCTCCTCCTCCTCCTGCTCTCCTCCTTCCCTCCCTCCCTCCCGCCCTCCCTCCCTCCCCCTCCTCCCTCCCTCCTTTCCCTCCTCTTCCTCCTCCTCCTCCTCCTCCTCCTCTTCTTCTTCTTCTTAGTATTCTTCTTATTCTTATTCTTAATATTATTCTTCTTCTTAGTAGTATTATTATTATTATTATTATTCTTCTTATTATTCTTATTATTATTCTTCTTATTATTATTATTATTCTTCTTATTATTCTTCTTATTATTATTATTCTTATTATTCTTCTTATGCTTATTATTTTTCTTATTATTCTTCTTTTTCTTCTTATTCTTCTTATTCTTATTCTTATTATTATTATTCTTATTATTATTCTTATGCTTCTTCTTCTTATTCTTATTATTCTTATTCTTCTTATTATTATTCTTATTATTCTTATTATTATTCTTCTTCTTATTCTTATTATTATTCTTATTATGTTTCTTCTTATTCTTCTTATTATTCTTCTTCTTCTGATTATTATTATGATTCGTATTCTTCTTCTTATTATTATTATTCGTATTATTATTCTTCTTAGTCTTCGTCTTCTTCTTATTATTCTTCTTAGTGTGCTTCTTCTTCTTCGTCTTCTTCTTATTATTATTATTATGCTTCTTCTTCTTATTATTATTATTATTATTATTAGTATTAGTCTTATTATTCTTCGTATTATTATTCGTATTATTCTTCTTATTCTTCTTCTTATTATTCTTATTATTATTCTTATTATTCTTCTTATTATTCTTCTTATTCTTCGTCTTATTATTCTTATTATTCTTCTTATTGTTCTTCTTATTATTCGTATTATTCTTCTTCTTATTATTATTATTCGTATTATTATTATTCGTATTCTTATTATTAATCTTAGTAGTATTATTCTTATTCGTATTATTCTTCTTCGTATTATTTTTCTTATTATTCTTAGTCTTCTTCTTCTTATTATTATTCGTCTTCTTCTTATTCTTCTTCTTCTTCTTCTTATTCTTCTTCTTCTTCTTATTCTTCTTATTCGTCCTCCTCCTCCTCCTCCTCCTCCTCCTCCTCCTCCTCCTCCTCCTCCTCCTCCTCCTCCTCCTTCCTCCTCCTCCTCCTCCTCCTCCTCCTCCTCCTCCTCCTCCTCCTCCTCCTCCTCCTCCTCCATCCCTCCTCCATCCCTCCTCGTCGTCGTCGTCGTCGTCGTCGTCGTCGTCACTCGCCTCTCTCGCTGAAGAATTGTCCAGCGAGGGCTCGCTGGCGGGCGGCGTGGCCTCCAGCAGACCGAACGGCATGCCCGTCGACCGCGGGGACGCCTGGCTCGGCCGCCGCTGGCCCTGGCGGCCATGCGGCGCGTCGGGGAAGAAGGGCGACGCAAGGAGCCCCTCCTGGGCGAGAGGTCGCTGGGCCCCCGCGTCGGTCCTCGATCCTCGAGCCTCGAGCCTGGAGCCTGGATCCTCGAGCCTCGATCCTGGCCCGCAGGGAGTCCCTGGATCCCTGGCGACAGGTGCCCGTGCCCCCATGTCGATGATCCTCAGAGCGCGTGTTAGCGCCAACGGGTGTTTGTCCACCGAGGCCCTTCAATACGACGTGGGCGGCGCAACGAGAGCCAACACAGGCTGCGCATCAGCTGTCGGCGAAACCGAGCGGGGTACACGCTTGGGCTACCACACGTCCTGAGGATCATCGACCCGGGCCCTCTTGGAGTCCCGGGGGGGGGCCTGGGCCTCGCGAGCGGTGCCTCTCGAAGCCGCGGGGGCCTCCCTTGGGAGAACTGGGGCCCCACCTCTGGGCAGGGCCACCTCTGGCAGCACCCCAGCCCCGAGGGCCTGGGCTGCCCGCGAAGGCTCAGAAGGACCACGTTCGGACTTCGGACTCTGGGCACGCAGCTGTCGCCGACGAGGGTGCCGAAGGATGGCGCCGCCGTGGCGCGCTGGGCACACAGCCAGCACCGGGAGCCATCAAACGTACCTCCGCCAGGCCCGAAGGTGTGCGACATGGTCCAGAATCACATGATCCTGACTCTCTTTCTGCAAAGGAAAGAGCCCTGGGCCACCAGGAGGAGGAGGAGGAGGAGGAGGTGGAGGAGAAGGAGGACGAGGAACACGAGGAAGAGAGGGAGGAGAGAGAGGAGGGGAAGAGGAAGAGAGAGGAGGAGGAAGAGGAGGAAGGGAGGGAGGAAAAGGAGGAGGGAAGAGGAGGACGATGACGACGACGAGGAGGGAGAGGGAGTAGGAGAGGGAGGAGGAAGGGGAGGAAGAGGGAGGGGAAGACGAAGGGGAGCACCAGCAGAAGCAGGCTCCTCGTCCGGGTCGGGGGGCTGCCAACGCGGCGTGCCGGTGGGATCGGCCCCGCACGCGCGCTCCGAGTGCGCTTGGCTGAGCTGGCGCACCAGTGCACCTTGGCACTTTTCTGCTGCAGCTCCTGCTGTTCCCAAGTCATCCCTCTGAGATCCAGGCGTTCCAAAATTGCTCACACAAAGCATCTTCGCCTGGTTTCGAACCCCGAGTCCCTCACGGATCGATCCGGCTCGGAAAACGCCGCAGGAAGATGGGGTGGAGGACTATGGTCGTGGATTCTCGCGATCCTTCGCTTTGTTCGCGACGTCGGAACACAGGGTCTGCATCATGCTCCGCCTCCTCCTCCTCCTCCTCCTCCTCCTCCTCCTCCTCCTCCTCCTCCTCCTCCTCCTCCTCCCCCTCCTCCTCCTCCTCCTCCTCGTACACCTCCTCCTCTTCCTTTTCCTACTCCTACTCCTCCTTCTCCTCTGATGATCACTCATCAGTGTTAGCGTGTCCCTTCTCCTCCTCCTCCGCCTCCACCTCGTCATCAACATCATCATCAACATCATCATCATCATCATCATCATCATCATCATCATCAACATCATACTCATCATCCTCATCATCATCATCATCATCATCATCACCATCATCATCCTCATCCCCATCATCATCATCAGCAACATCAGCAGCAGCATCATCGTCATCGCCATCATCATCACAACAATCATGCTCATCATCAGCAACAGCAGCAGCATCAGCATCAGCATCAGCATCAGCACAATCATCATCACCACCACCATCATCGTCATCATCAGCAGCAGCATCAGCATCATCATTACCATCATCATTATCACCAACAATATAACCATTATAAGCACTCACGTGGTGAGCATCATCATCATAGTCATCATCATCAGCAGCAGCATCGGCATCATCATCAGCATCATCATCATCGTCATCATCGTCATCGTCATCATCACCATCATCACCATCACCATCACCATCCGCATTATCAGCATCACCAGCATCATCATCAGCAGCATCATCAGCATCGTCATCATGATCACCACAATCGTCATCATGAGCATCGTCATCGTCATCACCAGTATCATTCATCATCATCATTATCACGATCAGTATAATCACCATCATCATCCGAATCCTGATCATGACCCTCATCAGCGTCACGACCACCACTACCACAAGCATCAGCATCAGCAGCCGCATCATCATCATCTTTACCAGCAGCAGCAGCACCAAGTTCTTCTCATTATTTGTCATAACTATCGTCATCATCGGTATCGCCGCCATCGTCATCATCATCGTTGACATCAGCATCAACATCAACATCATCATATCATCTTGGTCGGCATCATCAACATCATCAGCATCATCGTGAACATCATCCTCATCATCGCCCGCATCTTCATCCTCAGCATCACCATCATCAGCATCATCGTCATCACCAGCATCATCGTCGTCATCATCATCGGCATCAGCAGCAACAAGGCCAACATCAGCATTATCAGCATCATCAGCATCATCCTCATCATCATGATAGTCAGATTCATCCTCGCCCTCATCCTCATCCTCAGTCTCAATATCATCATCATCAGCATCATCAGCATCACCATCACGAGCATCATCATCATCGTTTTCATCACCATGATCATCATCACCATCATCATCATCAGCATCATCAGCATCATCATCCCACTCGTATTCCTCTGCCTATTCTTCCGACTGTTCCTCTCCCTCGCCCCCCCCCCCCCTCCTCCTATTTATCCTCCTCCTCCCCCGCCTCCTCTGTTGCACTGTTGCACTGCTGTGTCACAAGTCCACTCTGGGAGCAGAGAGCGACAAAAATATATGGGCGGGAGGCTAAGGCGACGCTTACGGAGAAGAAGGAAGGCCGAGACAGAGGGAGGAAAGAGGGAAAGAGGAGAATAAGCGTCGCCGAAGCCCCAAACCCAAAACCCCGCCTAGGCTGGCCCCAGGACAGGGTGGGTTCATTGATGCCGGCAGTCGGCCTGTCTCTCTGGAAAGGCCTCATGTGCCGATCGGGTCGGGCCGCATGGGCGAGCCGCCTCCCTGGGCGGGCATTGCCAGGCCCCAGACCGACCGTCGTCGCACCCCCCCCCCCCCTTCCTCTTCCCCAAGCCCCAATCCTCGAGACGCGACTCTCTGCAGCGATCGCGCCTGATGGAAGGACGGGGGTGGGTGAGGGGAGGGAGGATGTAAATGTAGAAAGGGAGGGGGAGCGGGGAGGCAGCCTCCAACCGAAAACCTGTCCCTTTCTGCTCTGCACTCTGCAGTGCAGAGCCTCGGCAGCCTGTCGGCCCTGGCCGAGGAGCTGGCGTGCAGAGGCCCTGTCGCGGCGAACGGCTGGCGAGAGCGGACGCCACCTCGGCACGTCGTCGCCGTCGTCGCAGTCGTCTCACCCCATCCCCTTCCCACGCCCACCCCATCAAAGAATTCGACAGGCTGTCAAGAGCAAGCCTGTTCTTACATTCCTGAGGAGGGGGGGGAGGGGGAGGTCGGAGACCCTCAACAGCTACAGCACGACCTGACATTTCACCGCTTAGAGGCTCGGGGCGGGAGGTGCTGCTACCTGCCCACTGCGGGGAGAGCCCGCAAGGCCTAAACCGCCGGGTAGTTCCCGCGGAACTTCCCCCAGTCGACGGCGCGGCCGTTTGCGATCGCCAGCTTCGCAACTAGGTCGTGCACAGCCTTCTCCACCTCAGGCGAGGAGGCGTCCAGGTGCTGGAGAGAAGCCACCTGCTCCGCCAAAAAGCCTGTCCCCCCCAATCTGTCTGTACTCCTTGGCCCACAGCGCCGTGTCAGCCGCGGTCTCATCCATGCTGCTGAAGGAGCCGTTCTGCGCTTCGTCGGCGCTCTGGTCCGACTTGTCGTCAGCAGCCAAGTCGAAAAACTCTGTGTGGGAGGTCTCCGCGGGTGCCGCGGTGCGAGAAATGACCCCTGCAGAGTGCGCCAATTCGTCTGCCAGCACGGCCGCATAGGCCCACTGGCCCAAAGGCGAGGTGAGGCCGCACTCGTAGCACAGGGCATCCGTCTGCGTAGCAGATTCGTTGGGGTTCGGAGGAACCGCTTCACACTGCTCTTCTTGCTCATCACGCTCCTCCGCTGGACAACCATGGTCAGAGGCAGACGGGTCGCTCCCAGGTGAAGATGTTGAAGCCGATGTAATACTGGGCGCCGAAACAGGCGTGGAAGCAGGCTGCGAGCCATCTGGAGCGGCCCTGCCACGCCTCTTCTGCTTATGCTTCGCTTCTCTGCCAGACTTTGGCAGAGCTCCCTCGCCAGCTCCAAGGCTAGTGTGCAAGGCACAGTTGCGGAAAGCCTTGGTGGACCCGTCGAAATTTGCTCGCACCCCTTGCCGCCCAGCTCGAACGAGGCCTTCCAGAGCAGGACGGGCCATGTCAAACCGAGCGTCGACTTCCGCCTTGATATCGGAGTCGCTGGTGTCGAGCGTGGCTGTGTCGGCCGCCTCGCAGCTCAGGATGAGACGCCAAAAAGCGGCTGCGGTCGCTGCCACGACATGGCGGCTCGCCCCCGCCCGCACGATGACTCCCAAGAGGTTGCACGCAACAGCTTCGCCTTCCGACACGGGCCCGGACATGGATGTATACGGAACGCGGTATACCGTGCCACTCAGGATTCCAATATGCGAAAGAATGTGCAGAGCAAAATTCGTTCGGTATCGGAAACAGCTTGAGCCAAAATGGCTACGGACTTGAGCCAAAATGGCTACGGATTTCCCCGTCTCCTCCTCCTCCTCCTCCTCCCTCCCTGCCTGCCTCCGTCCCTGCTTCGCCCCCACCCCCCTCCCAGCCTCCTCCCTCTTCCTCAGCATCATCATCATCATTTGTTTCCGCTCTTTTTCCCCGCCACCCCATCCCCCTCCTCCTCCTCCTCCTCCTCCTCCTCCTCCTCCTCCTTCTCCTCCTCCTGCTTGCCCCCCTCTTTTATGGTTAGTGTGCGTATGCTTATTTGCCTTATTAGTATGACGTGTTGTTTATTATTACGTATGCTTCTTAGTTATGATTCTCCTTAGTACTATACAGAGTCTTGTTATCAGTACTATTACTCGTGATGTTGCTCTGGTTATTAACATATTAGTCGTGATAATATTGTTATTGGTTTTCGTAGTATGGCTGTCATTGTTACTGTTATGAATAGTGTTATCATTATCAGTCGTATTATTGTCAGTTTGCTTATCAGTCGCATGAGTCATCTTATTACTTGGCTCCAACAAAAGTTTCCTTGGAAACTCGCAAGAGGAATACTATGTATGTGAACCCGTCGGCAAGATGAAAAGTCGCGCGCGCGTGCTCAGCGTTCGCACGCACGCGATCCCAAGACGTCCCATGGCCACAACATGCTTCCAGGAATGCCTCAGGCCACGGACGATAACGTCCAGAGGACCCAGGATGATGCCACCCCAACGCGATCCCGCCATGGATTCTGGACCGTCTCAGGCCGACTCGCAGATGACGAAACACATGAGCAACGCGAGACGCCGAGATGGCCCGATGGCAACAAGATGGGTCCAAGCGCACCCAGGGTGGCCTCATAATGACCACGCGATGGTTGCGTGATCCAAACATGACCGGGATATGATCTCAAGATGACCTCAAGACGACCCCAACACGGCAATAATACTGCAACTTATGAGCCCCATCTTACTTCGAGCCGATCCCAGCATGGTGGGATCCGTGAACGGCCCGGGATTTTGGTCTACCCCATTTTTAATGGGTGGGATGTTGATCGTCCTGACCTAAACTTATAATATTCAAGCGGAATAAGCCAGGCGGGATCCCGCCCGGTCCACGGAGGAAGACAACATTGCTAGGCTTC